TCATTTAGGTCATTAGAGGTCGTAAGAGGTCATTAGAAGGTCAAACACTGGATTTTTTGCTGCTACTGTATTCCCTGGGTCCCTAGCTTTCGTTTGATGTGCATAAAGCCATAGTTGAAATATTTTCTATTTCTGGAGGTCATTAGAGGTCATTAGAGGTCATTAGAGGTCATTAAAATTCAATTTGATTTTATTTTAGGAATTTCGATCACTAATTAGGCGTGCACCCAAAAAATTGGAAGATTTGAACCAAAAATGAAGGCAGGGCCCCCCCCCCCCTACATCAAATGTGCCAACTCCACCATCCCCTTTAAAATATTAAAACCGTTAAAAATATTGAAATATAAAAACCTAAAAATATCCAAAAAAAATCTATAGAAAATAGAAGTAACCCTTTTTTAAAAATATAAAAACTAGAAATAGAACAAATTTGTATCAACAATCTCTAAAAAATTACGACGAAAATATAAAATTTAGAAATGCATTAATGAGGACGCACATAGAGGAAAACGTAATGTTTTTGAAAAATTCTTTCACTTCAAAATTTTTTTTTTGGGTTTAAGGAGGGATTGATCAAAACAACAGACATATTTAATATTTACTTTTGTGTACTTTAACTGTACAATTTATTTACATTTTAATTGCAAAGCCCTGTAGGCTGTACAATACATGTAGAGTGTACAACCCCGTGTACTCTCGACATTTACTCCCTGTACAATTGTGAATATACATTCCTTGTACAATTTAGATATACCCCTGTGCAACTGTGCATATATACTCCTTGTACAGAGTACATGTACACCCTGTACAACTGTACATATACACTCCCTGTACTATGTAGATATATTCTCCATGTACAAGGTGCAAATACCCCCTTTATAACTGTGGATGAAAAAATCCCTTTACAACTGAATGCAAGCCGCCTGTACAACTACATATATAAATAATATGTATGTACAACCCTGATTATCTGTACCTGCAGGAATATGTATGTACAGAGGAAGCCAAAGTACACCTGTGCAAAGTATTTATCTGTATACCTTAATACAAGGATAAATCAATCAATCAATCAATCAATCAGCCATGAACTTATAAGGAACCCAGTGTGGAACCACCAATTACTTTTAGGAATAGAGTTATGGTGGGGAGGAAATATACCATTTGTTTAAATTCTATAATAACAATCTCTAATGGCCTTATTTACAAAATGAAAAATATAAATTAAAATTAATATTATTGAAAAGAGTAAAACATGAAACGAAGAATAACTATTTATAACACTGTTATTTTGGTTCGCAGTATTATAAAGTTTTAGGATATAAATTTTCTCTTTATCTCGAAGGTTCAAGTCTTTTTACAGATTTAATTTTGTCCAGAGCTTTAGCAAGGAACAATATATTATCAGAAGGGGAAAACCTTAGACATATAGAGAAAATGTAAGTCCAAAAACTTTATAGAACGCCGTGGCAAAATATAATTGTTGCAGGTAATTTTATGAAAGGTTTGTGTACTTGTCAATTTCAATGGTCATTTCTAGATCAAATAAGCTTTGAAACAAAGCAGACGTCAAAATATAAAGTTGATTTCAATTTTATTTTCATTTCAATTTTAAAAAAATATTTTGAAAATATTCAAAATTTTCTGGAGAAAATCCGGGAACCAATTAAAACTTTATAGCACACGTGCTATAATGTACAGCTAATTTAAATTTATAGCACGACGATTACTTTATAGCACGCTCATTATGAAATCCACGATGAAGTGAGTAAGAATGATAAAGTACACAATAGATTGACAGGAGAAATGGGAAAATAAGGGAGAAAAGAACTTAGAGGAAAAGACAAAACATACAAGAGAGGAAAAGGGGGGAAATCAGGCAAAGGAGAAAATATAATAATGCAATGAAAGGAGAGTAATGCGAGAATAACAGAAAATTCAGACAAATGACATAAAAACAAGAAAAACATTTAAACCTGTAAATATGTTAACTTAGGAAGATCAATTAAATTGGTAACAGTAACAGAATTACGTGTCGTCATACAATGATTGTATGAACAATGTACATTGTACAAATCATCATGTACATTGTACAAATTATCATGTACATTGTTCAAATTATCATTACAAATTATCATGTACATTGTACAAATTATCATGTACATTGAACAAATTATCATGTACAATGTACAAATTATCATGTATTTTGTACAATGTTGATTGCATAATGTCTAGATAGTGTTAATTACATAGGAGGAGACTTCAGAGACAGAATTATAACTGTCTTGTTTCTTAACTTTATTGATTCCCTGCAACTGAAAACTTGTTTTTTCCTTTGCCAAATCATAAAAGTTGCCATTTATTTATATTTAAGGCAGACGACTTACTTTAACCATGGGATAGTCATATTTTATAATGCCCAGGTAGTTTTTTTAGTCTCATTGTTTTTGGGTACCCCTGTCTGTACCTAGAGAGTAGTTCTCCTAATCGTTTAGCCTCTTCAATATCTGCAGGAAACTTGAATATTTCTTGATCCGCGGCATTCACGTCAGGGAAGGTAGAGTACACTAATAATAAAAACAATAACAATAACAATAACAATAACAATAACAATAAAAATAACAATAACAATAAAAATAACAATAACAATAACAATAACAATAACAATAACAATAACAATAACAATAACAATAACAATAACAATAACAATAACAAATAAGTTATAATAACTGTCCTAAATCTCAAATCTATTTGTCCTAAACCTCTTCTCTATTTGTGCTAAATCTCATATCCATTTGTCCTAAACCTCTAATCGATTTTAACTAAATCTCTAATCTATTTGACCTAAATCTGTAATCTATTTGCCCTAAAATCTCTAATCTTTTAGTAGTATAACTCTCTAATCTATTTGTCCTAACTCTCTTTGTCCAAATTTCTAATCTATTTGTCCTAAATCTCTCAATCTCTAAGTCCAGAATCTGTAATCTATTTGTCCTAAACCTCAAATCTATTTGTCCCAAATCTCAAATCTTTTTGTCCTAAGCCTCTTTTCTAGTTGTCCTAAATATCATCTACTTGCCTCAAACCTTTCAGATATTTGTCCCAAATCTCATCTTTGTGTCCTAAATCTCTATATTCTGTTTGTCCTAAATCTCATCTTTGTGTCCTAAATCTCTATATTCTATTTGTCCTAAATCTCTATATCCTATTTGTCCTAAATCTCTATATTCTATTTGTTCTAATTCTCTATATTCTATCTGTCCTAAATATCTCTATTCTATATGTCCTAAATCTTTATATTCTATTTGTCCTAAATCTCTATATTCTATTTGTCCTAAATCTCTATATTCTATTTGTCCTAAATCTCTATATTCTATTTGTCCTAAATATCTCTATTCTATTTGTCCTAAATATCTCCATTCTATATGTCCTAAATCTTTATATTCTATTTGTCCTAAATCTCTATATTCTATTTGTTCTAAATCTCTAATCTATTTGTTCTAAATCTCATCTTTGTGTCCTAAATCTCTATATTCTATTTGTCCTAAATCTCTATATTCTATTTGTCCTAAATATCTCTATTCTATTTGTCCTAAATCTTAATATTCTATTTGTTCTAAATCTCTAATCTGTTTGTCCCAAACCTAAAATCTATTCGCTCTAAAAATTTACCTAGAAACATGGCTAGACCAGAACTAAGGAAAATCAGGAGAATCAGACTAACTGCCGTTCTGAACAGTTCAAATATATAAAATACATTTCTTAAATTTGTTAACAGTATATTATTAGTGCCCTTAAAATGTTATACAATACATGATTCTTATTATTATTAGTTTTTCAGAAACAGTTAAAGGGACTGTTAAGGAAAAGGAAAAGTGGGTATAGATTCAAACCTAAACACTTAAGGACTTGATCGCGACCTATTTGATGTTTGTGTCTCGTGACATTGATGTAAAACTGTGTAATTTTTTACCAAAACTCATATATGTGAGGTTTGGTATTGGAATTTAAGTCTTAACCGAGCAGAAAACTTTAGGATTACGTTCCCTTCATCCAGAGTCTAAAACTAAAGAACGAAAAGTTTTGACTTAAATTTTAAGTTCATGGTTAAATGCCACTTCTGACTTAATTTAAACCCGAACTTTAACCCTGAGGTTAAATATTTAAACCTGTGGTTAAATATTTAACTCGCCGAAATCGACGAGTTAAAATTAAACACATGGTTAAATCTTGAAATCCCACAATCCCTATTTGTCTATCATCATTCAGCGATAAGCGGCGCGCATTCAACTAATTACGATATATTTAAAAGTAAAACCCTTGATTTAATAAATTTCACGTTTTAAATTAATTAATGTGTTTGCACGTAAACCCAAAAGAAGGTTGTAACTGGAAATATTTTTTGTTTTCGGTTACGTAAATATTAAAAAGTTAACTAAAACAGCTGATTAGCGATGGTTACGTAATATTCTCCATGTAAATCCTTTTCTCTGATTGGGTGAAATTTTCCCCGGGAAATTCAAATTTAAAATTGAGAAAGTTAAATATTTAAGTAGCTACTCATTATTTTACAGAACTTTTAACCTCGAACTTAAAATTCGCGCATTCTTTAGTTTTAGACTCTGATCGCTTAATGTGAATATCCACTGCGGAAACTTTTTTTTAAATTCGCTCTTGTCGAATATCACTTTTCCGACTACGTGTTATAAAGATACGTTTGATTACAAATACAGATACGATGCTATAACGATTGGGCTAATATCCGATTGAACTAAAGTCAGCTGTTTACAAGCCATGGCTTTCAGAGTATTTAAACAAACAAATTATGTTAATATGGACTTTTTAAAAAGTATATTTTTTCACATTTGAGGACTATAGATATTTTGAACATTAGTGTTAATAAACATTAATCCAAACTTACGTTCATTCAATCAATCATTAGTTCAATTGACATGACACCAAAAAGCGGAAAAATTTAAAACCGGTTTTATTTAAAGCTAAAGAGCGAATCTCTAATCTCTAGAAATTGATCGAAAGACTAAATTAGTCTTGAGATTAGCAAAAAGAGAGGATCAAGCATTGATCTCGATATCTACCATTCTTAAGTTTTCAGCTTAGGTATTATTTCAGTTTTATATCAATTTCTCGAGACAGGGACATCAGATAGAACTCATATAGGTCGCGATCCACTCCCAGTGTTTAGGTTTCGACCAATAACCCCTTTCATTTTTCCTTATCAGTCCCTTAAGTGACGTGAATCGATTGAAGCAAGAAAAAAGAGCGACATTATTACCCCCCTCTCTTAAACACATTAATTTTTTAGTTCAAAGATAAACTAATTTCAACTTTCATACAGTGGATGTTAGGAGTGTAGGAAGGGGAGGAGAGAATAGTGATTTTCAAATATTTGTAGTTCCTGGTTTTAAGTTCTCCCGAGGATGATGATGAGGTCGTGTCCTCAGGATTAGACGAGGCTGCGACAGAACCTTCTATAATAATTCATTTAATCTCCTGTTCAACGAAATAACCAACCTTAAATTCCCTACTTTTTTTATTTCCAGGGAGGATAATTACTTATCCTCCCTATTTACGCTCGTGAGGTTTAGAACCCCAAAAAGGTCTTGGAGGCCCTCGGCTAAGTGGTTTTCCCCTCAATTTAATTATCCTCCCTTAATCTCCCGGTTAAGTAGTAATTAATAGTTATAATTGGTCTGGAGGCGTAATTTCAAGTGACCCTCCTTACAATGATGGCAACACCCGATTTACAACGGTAAATAATGAACTTGAGCTCGCATGGTATTTTTTGCCATACTCGCATGAACGGTCACAGTCCCTTTAAAGACAGGGGGGGATTGATTACTAGCTTTAAACTCTATTTTTCTAATCCCTACATCTTTCTCTAGGAGTTTTTATTTTAAAGGGAAACGATTTTTGATGGTCTGTGGATTAAAAAAAAGGACATCAGACACATGGTTTTTAATCTTTTTAAAAAAAGGACATCAGACACATGTTTTTTTTAATCTTTTTGATACTTTTCTCAGAACATTATCTGTTTTCCAATAAAAATCAACAACATTCCCCAATTCAGTGAGGAAAAAACCTTCTATCAAGCAAACATAACGTTCTGAAGGGAAACAGGATTTTCTAAAACTTGACACTCCTCTGTCTTTAAAGCCTGAAGTCCTAGACCTTTAATATTTAAATTTTGGGATTCGTTAAATAAACGACTCCAAGTATGATATATCAAAACATCAGGTTGTAAAACTATAATTGGAAAGTTTGAGGCAAGATGTTCAGTGTTCTAGCAATACAACCACCTTTGACCTTAAAGAAATCAACTTGGAAGACGATACACACAACTCCTACAAAACACAATAGCAAAGACGGCAGATTGTATCAAAAATATATTAAATCATTTTTTAAGAATTATTAACTACATTCCCCCCCCCCAAAAAAAAACTGTTTAAATGAATTCCTTGATTAGAAGAGGAATTAGCTGCTTGACTAGTGGGATCTGTCAGAACAGGAGAGTCATCTAATAATATAAAAAAACATTATGTTAATTGATTTTGTTCATAAAAAAAGTATTCTAAAGCATATTGTGTAAATTTTTTTGATTTTTGAAGTAATTACAATTGGTTTTCCAGTTTTAGAGTGACAATGTCCGATTTACAACGGTATCCATTAAACCTTTGTCTGTTTAAGAATAAAAGATATCAGTAATATACTCATTAAAATTGATTTCTTTCAATTATAGAAATAATGGAAGAAAATTGTTAGATATTGACATATTTCAAGCTGGAATAAAAAACGATATCATGCATAGTGTTGATCAAATAAAGGTGTATAGGGCATGGTTATGAATCTATGATGAAAAACATGGTTCTCATTAAATCTTAATCAAACACGAACTTTAGAAGTACTAATGTGACTCGGGTATTCCACTAGAACTTAAATATTTTTCCTAATTCTTTTATAATTATTGAACTATTATAATTCTACCTGTTCGTCTTGCCTTCAGACGTGTATTGTAGTTGTGTGTGGCAAAATCCTTGAAAAAAAACAACATTGTTAACATAATCAGTAATCACCCCTCCCTCCCCCCCCCCACAAACACAAAAACGAAGATATACCCTCTTTTGAGAGAAAAAAAATATTTTAGCTGAGATAAAACTAATGCAAAATGTATTTTGATATATTTTTAAAACGTGTGTTCCAGATCTCACATAGGGCAACATAGATCATTTCTCATCAAACCTCTAAGTCGCTTAGAAGTCTGAAGAAATAATTTCAAGTTGACCTCCATATAACATAAATCACGTTCATTCAGAAACTAAATGATGTGCAGTATACTTATATTAACCTTATAAGAACTAATTAATGACAGGAAAAAATATGCTCACCTTAATTTTTGTAAACTGCAAAGGACCGCTTTCATCCGGCATTTTTATCTATAAATACAATGAATTAACATATTTTCAACTATTATGGCAGATTTCATGCAATTAAACACTGTTTGTGGCACAGTTTTGAAGGCATCTTCGGCAGATTTAGTCTGACGAAGACATAATTTGTGGCTTTAATTTTCCTTTCATTACTGCTTACGGCAGATATTTTATAACTGGGTAGTGGGTATGTGTGTGGCATTTGCTATACATGAGCACTATTTTGTGGCAGATTTTAAGCTAATAGTGATTTTAGTTGACAGATTTGTGCATTTAGATACTTTTTGTGGCATATTCTTTGAGCTGTGATGTCAAGTGTGGCAGATTTTATGTGGAAAGACATAATTTGTGGCATATTTTATGCACTTATATACTGTTAGTGGCATATTTTATTCATTTTTGACCGATTTTAAGCGTTAAAACTTCATTTGTGTCTTTTAATTAGGCAATACAATGTTTTTTTAGAGGCATATTTTTTATATTTTTGACCCCGTTTTAGGGTTAAAAAATATGGGTGTAATGGGTGTACAATGTGCACCCTAGCCTGTCCTACCAGCAGCGCTCAGCCCAGAAAGTGTTTTGGGTCCGTCCTAGATTGATGATTTTTAATAATTTGATTACTAAGTTTATAAAATGATTTACATTCTTCCTCCGTGTAATCAATGGTAAAACCTTTATAAATTAATAAAGTCCTGAAACTAATAGGTCTACCAAACTTACTACAAGGACCGCGAAATTTGTTTTGTAATGAGTTTGAGAGAACACAAGGCGCGAACTACGTAGACACTTAAAAGTGCTCACTGCGAAATGCCGCAAATTTTCTAAGTTCTACGTAGACTTTATGAAGACGATAACTGGTCCAATCAATCAACTACTAAAAAAGAAAGCCTAGGAATGAAGAAATGATTGAATGAAGACCAAATAATTTCCAGAAACGAATCAGCAGTGTATTTATGGGGGGGGGGGGTTAGTCCTTTTCCCCCTCCTCAGGAACTCATGGGCAAAGGTTTAAATGAAGTGGGGCTGCAGATAAATCCCGAATTTGTCCAGGCTGAAGGATTACAGAAAATGTTAAGCGGCCCCCCCCCCCTTAGACAAATACACCGCTCACGAGACTTCGATAGGGGAGGGGCGGTGGATTCTCATTTGAACTACTCCCGTTTGAACTATTGTTCGTTTGAACTATTGTTCATTTAAATTACTGACATGGAAGCCTGTAGTAAATCAGCACGTTATGAACTATTTTTCTACCAATTCAGTTTTAATTTTTTTTATAATTAATGAAGAATTAGGTCTTACAATTAATTAGATAACATATGCACAGAAATATTTCAAATAAACAAAAAAATAGTTCAAATGAAAAAAAAATTTTCATGCATGCATGCTCATTTGAACTATTTGTCTACCAATTCAGTTTTAAATTTTTTTTATAATTAATGAAGAATTAGGTCTTACAATTAATATAGATAACATATACACAGAAATATTTCAAATAAACAAAAAAATAGTTCAAATGCAAAAAATAGTTTAAAGATAATAGTTCAAATGAAAAAATGACAAAAAAATAGTGCAAATGAACAAAAAAAGGTTCAAATGAAAAAAAAAGTTCAAATGAACATAAAAATAGTTCAAATGAAGTAGTTTTTAAATAAACAAAACAAGAATTTCTTCATTAATTATAGGAAATTGTGGGAAAACTTAAATAAACAAAAAATTTTTTTCAAAATTCTTCCTTTAATCTGTGACCATGCAAGAGAAATTTTTAAAAAATAAGAGAAACTGAAAAGGCTGCAAAACCTTATACTTTTCTTATATTGGCAAAGAATATACATCCCTGATATATTGGCTGCAATAAGATGGTTTTAATTCTTATAAAATAAAATTACGGATCAAAGTAAAATAAAAGATTAGTTAAAACCTAGGATATTAGGTGGAACCACTAATATAACAATATCAACTATAATTAACGATGTGTTATTTTTGAAATTAGCTTTTTTGTCTTCCGGCAACCATGAACCCACACTATTACCCCTTCCGTGTCACATATTAGCTTTTTTGTCTTCCGGCAACCATGAACCACCAATATTTCCTCTTCCGGGCCACCAAATTTTACTCTTCCGGGCAAAACTAATTTTGTAAATGGTATATTAAGGGCCTTTCAAGTGTGATTTTCAAAAATCCAGCCGCGTCATGCAAAAATACACAACTTAAACCATTTTTTAATTCTATATAAGATTAATATACTGTATAATATACCATTTGCCCGGAAGACTAAAGTGTGGTGGCACCATTTTTTCGTCCACACCGCAAATGACGTCACAATTTACCATTATTTCTTCCGATCACAAGTTTTTTTCGCCCAGGCGTTGCTTCTGTGTTTCCAGATGTATATTTTTATGTCCTTTAACACTTTTTCAAAATTAGGCAACTCCATGTTGTACAATATGACTTAGATTTGTTTAAAATGCATTTTAATTAAAAAATAAAACAATATTTAGGCCCAATTTAGTACAAAACGAAAAATACCTATTTTTCCCCGACCACACTATTTTTAGTCCGGATTTTTAGAATCTATAGCTAAAAGTTTGCATATTTTTGGTAAGGAGCATAGCAAGTGCTCCAGGTAATATAAAATAAAAATTTCCGTGAATTGTTTTATGTCTAGTGTATTTTTTTCCAGAGAAATTTCCTGCATGTTAATTCTCTGATCTGAGGGTTTTCCGACCAAAAAACGTATTTTGTGTACAAAAGGTCGTTAACGATCATTAAAAATTATGAACGACCTACCAATTCGTTAACAAAACGACAAACTAAAACTATTTGAAAAAGATCTTTTTAAAAAATACCGTTTCGTTTTTCGTTTTTTCTTCATCGTTTTTAAAAATAAACAATCATTTTCAAAAAAGTGAAAACAATCCATCCTCAAGTGTAGGTAACATATTATTATTTGTCTTCATCCCTACACAGTACACACCCTTTAAAGCATCAATATATTTGTTGACTTGAAAAGTCACTATAATAAAATAAAGAGATCTAAAATGGATATTTCTAACATTTATTTTTAGTAAATTCCTCTCTATATATTCTATTCTCTATCGTTATGATACCCTGAAAGAAATTCAAAGAAATACTTTTAAGAAAACACTGAGAGAAAAATAAACAAGAAATATTAAGAATTTCTGTAAAATTATTAAAAGGACTAATTAAAGAAGAATTAAATTTTTTTTGCGATCTATTTTGAAAAATATTAATGTCAATATTAAGTCAAAGAGCTTTCCAAGAATGTAACAATGCAATGTTCTAAATAACTATCACAAAAAGGAAATTTATTGGCAGTCAATTTTGGGTAAAGTAGACGTCAGGGTTAAGATAAATATATAAAAACATGATCGGGAAAATTAATGATAAATTAAAATCATTATAAATCAATGAAAGATACAATTGATAAAATGTTTATAAATGAAAAAATTATCAGAATATATTCATTTTATCCATTCTTACCATGAAACACAAGGCAAATGCATTTTAAGATGAAAATTTTGACAAAAACCACCCCCCCCCATGACCCCCTAAAATACAATGCCTCTTTTTTTGAGTTTACAACCAAAAGTATTAAAAAAATTATTAGTTGTTTGATTGTATATATGTAGTAAATACCCTACTCCATAAACTGCTCTCGAAATCATATATTTTTGCGCAATTTTTGTACGATTTTCGTGCAAAAAATTTCGATTGGAAACCCTAGTACTCTGGGGTACAATTTAAAACTGTCCATAGTAGTAGAAACTGGTAGCAATCCTAACTTGCTGCTGCACTGTTACTGTTTCTCCTATTACCATTTTTAAACAGGTAATCACATGTACTTTTTCCTTGGAGTCTGTGGTATTTAACTAGGGTTCTTTGATTCTCACCACTGCTACCACTTTTCCAGTAAAAACCCTACTCCATAAACTGCTCTCAAGCTTGATGTCAACACAGACACTAGCAATTAATTGATCAATGTCAAACTGGGGGCATGATCTCATGAGCTATTCATGTTAACCGGACACTATAGCTCATACTCTAACAACGCCCAGCGCTCGTATGTTTCAATCAGAACCTAATTACTCTCTTGGCACCAATCTAATCGGAGTCTCTATATCAACTAACGTTTGAGGTTTATATGTTACAAGTTAAAGTTAATAGATGTAATTACAATTCCTGTGTCGTTATCTATATCATATGATGAAGGCAATCATGTCATGTATTATAGCCAGAGGCGGATACAGGGGGGGGACATTCACCCCCCCCCCNAAAAATATCTGTCTTAATAAACTATGATGTGTGAAAAGTTCAAAATACTAGTTTTTTAGTCTTTAGTCATTAATTTTGACTCTTTTTGAGTCTTTTAAGTCAAAAAAAATTTCCCCTGCGGCGCGATTTTTTGTTCCCAATTATGAATTTTTTGTTCCCAAAAAATCTTGCCCCCCCCCCTCACTTAAATCATGTATCCGCCCCTGATTATAGCACAGTTGAAATAGGCGCAATTAAGATGTACGTCATTATATATTTCTCATGATTAAGCTAATCATGATTCATATTAATTTGAAACACAGTTCAAATAAATAATGAATTTTACGTAGAAGTTTACAAACGTGGATAGTTAAAAATGTACAACGTACTGCAGGTTCACAAAATATTGTGTTACCAGATATTTATAAAATAGATGTATATTTTTAAGAAAATTTTATACAGTTTATAATGTTTATTTGCGATGATATATGCTTTATTAGTATGTTTAACCAATGATTGTATGTGGTTTAATTCAGTTAAACGAACAAAAAAATATAAAAAATTCAAAGCCATTAACTTAAACTAGTTTAAGCTAAAAAAATGTATGCAAAAAAATTTTATGGACAAGGTTTTTTTAAGCTTAAATCTTGATTTTATAAATTTTGCTCAGTTACTACAATTGTTTTATGCAAAATAAATAAGAATAGGTAATATTACCATGCAAATTATATTGTCTTTATTAAAAATACAAGTTAATCATTGTTATCTTACTCATTATTTTATATAATTTCAAATATTGCCTAAAATTTTGCAAGATTTATTTTAGCCTTTTGAGATCTTTTTTCTAATATCCAGGTAATTGGCATATATAAGTATTACAAATACATTTAATCACATTTTTTATTGATTTTGTTTGCTCATGTGACATTTTTAACATTTTAGTAAAATAACATTACTCTTTTTATCAATTAATTATAGGGCATTAAAAGTAGAAATCATGACGTTAGAAAATGTTTATAAAGTAAAGGAGATGGTTAACCATACATTGATTTCTGAGACACCTACTGCTGTATTTATCAAACTTATTTTATATAATGTTGGATTTGCGACCAAAGTAGCAATTAGTTCAAAAAGTACGTCGGAAAAATAGTTGATATTTATTTTTGACAAATATTAACATGTGACAGATGTTATTTTATCCATTTTCCAAGGGCTTTTAAAATAAATCAGTTTTAACCCTGTAGCTTAATTATAAAAAAATGTATTAAGCGTTTCTTATTTTATTTAAAACACCGAAACGCTGTTTGACTGAACCTGTGCATCAAAAAAAATTTGATGGCAAAATTTGTTCACGACTATGATGAAATTGAAATATTGAAGAAATTTCAGCGTTCTACTATAAGCTGTTTTTAAGTTATTTAGAGAATGTCATAGGAGTAAGGGAATTTTGCTAACGCAAGGATTCCAAGACCAATTTTGATTACAAAACATCTAGAGTGCAACAAGGGATGTTTTGTTGGCAAAATTGGTCGGGGGAACTTGCGGTTAAGTTTTAACTTTATCAATTTATTTATTTTTTAATTTTTTTTTTATGAAACAAATTATTTGATACATGTATTTAATGCAGAATGCAGATAATCATGTTTCCAATCTTCTTGTTTCCTGGCTGTCCTGTAATGCTCGTTCAATTAGCTGCATACCCCCGCCCCCCCAGGAGGGTTAATATGCAGTTTTGAGATGCTGATCAGGCAATTTGTAGTATTTTAATATCAGCTCTTGAGTTTCTGTATTTATTCCAGTTGTTTTTGATATCGGCCATCTATGCAGGTTTATTGCTGACATTGTTGTAATGAGAACTTCCCTTTGTCAGCTGCATTACATGTATCAGTGTCTTGCAGTAATTTAGAAAGAAATTAAAAGACCTCCTAGCCTTAACTGCATTCGGCTAGGTTCAAGGTGATTTAGGTGTACCCCCTAGGAAAGGAACACCCAATGAAACCAATGATGATCTCTCTCAGAAAGTTTTGATTAAGATTCCACAGCAAAGCAGTTTCTGAGTTCCACTATATCTGCTCGTGAAGTAGGATAAGGTTGGAATTTAGGAGGTAGGCGGATGAGGATGGGGGTGTAAGGGTAACAGGTATCAGAAATACCATAGTCCTCACTTTTAACGTGTATTCCCACGTGGACAGATTTTTAAAGAAAAAATAACCCGCTAAGCATGCTGTCCCATCGCTTTAAAACACGGGGAGTGTGTCTTTTGCCTATCATTGTCAGAGGTCTGCCATGAGTAATCCAGTTTCCATTGTGAGGAGGGTGAAAAACCAGTTTATGGTATTTGATTTAAAGTCTATTGAAGGCTCTGTTCCCCCTTAAAACCTGTATCAGCATGTACTTCATCCCTGATGTTTTGAGTTTCTGTATTGCTTCTGTATTCATCTTTATTACTTTATCTTGTTCGGGATTAGTCACGCTTTCTACTCAGTTGTGGAGAGAGAAGAGAAGAGAATTGTCCTTGCTATCTAGACTTCTATACAAGTACAACGCACATAGCGCCCTTTCTCTTAACAGGCTTAGAAAGCTCTGCTGACACCCTTCCTCTGGGAGGTTCGGATACACACTGACTTGCGGTTAAGTAAAATTTTTAATTTCCAAAAAAGTAGTTGGACACAATTTATCGTCTTTTTGAGATGAAAATGCACGAATTTTTTCACCAATACTTCGCAGGGCGGGTCTTTATTTTAATTTATTGTCCCAAGGGATGTTAAGTAACTTACCGCCCCTCTGTATGGGAGAATCATGGGTCGGTAATGTTGGTCAAAACTCAAAAGGCGGTAAAATATTCTAAAAATAACATATTTTTGTAATTATATTTTTCAATTAAATCAGTATTTTAAATTTCAATATTCACACTCTAATATAGAATTTAGGAATTAGAACATTTTTGTTTGTGTTTGACACCCCCTGGCCCCTACTTTAGAAATCCTTTAATCATTCCTGTATTTATTCAATTTTGAAATCAGTCTGAAACTTAACAAAGGAGTAATGAGATTCCTATTGAGGCTATTGTGTTTTTTCCTTCAGAGAATATATGGATCATCTGGGACCTGTCCTAGCCACAGGGTTATAGCGCAGGGGGGGAAACAGTTCAGTGTTATTCCAGGATCCCCTCCATTGTCCCTTGGTTGTAAACAGGTTAGTGATTCTTCAATAATTAAAGAACGGCATATCTGATTCACAACTGTTATCCTTTTAAACCTTTGTCTGACCAAGGTTGTCATAGACAAGGAGAATTGAATAGAAGGAGGGGGCGATAGCTTTCCGTACACTTTGTTGTGACGTTTTTGGACTGCTGAAGAACTAGTTTTGCGTAACAACAATAACAAAGGCAGCCGATCTAATGTAAACAAACATGAGTTAGTATACGGTGAATCTTCATCTAACGCCAGAGATGCGCCATTGATCTCTGTGAATCAAACGTTCAAGTCAATTAACAGCTGTCACTTAAAATGATGTCTACACTCTACACTGCTACAGTGCATTTTAGTAAACTTTTTTTTCTGTCTAAGTCTGGTATTTTTACGGGAACAGAGAAAATATAAAGAGATGAAAAGAATTTCAAGAATTCTATTAATAAAATGCAAAAAATATTAATCAGGGATAAGACTTCCTTTTATGTCAGATATATAGATAAAAAATTAAAGGAAAAACGGAACTGGAAATTTGAAAATAGATAAATGATGCTATTAATAAATTGCAATAAATAACAATCAGGATTGAAATTGTAATTGAAATAAGTGTAGTAAATATCTTCAATTTATAAAAACAAAATTCCATGTGAATCATAAAAGTTTATTCTATCATATGCTTTCTTTTTTCTTCTATAAACTTACTTTGTTTGTTTGTATCCTATCTTTTTTGAGGCAACTCACATGACCCAAGGGATGGTTAAAGGACAGCTATAAAAATACAAATAATTGTCTCTAAAAAAATAAAATTTTCGTAAAATTTTGTTAATCCACGAAAACAAATTTAGATCCTAATAAACTGACAAATTGCAACTAATTCAAGCAACTTAAATTTTTTTTTATAGGATTCCTATATGTTGCAAGATGACAAAGGAGCCCAGTATTGTTTGGCTAGTAATCCAAAACCAAGAAAATTAACAAAAGTTCAATGTCAGAGTTTGCCAGGTAAAAATAACTTAACATTTCCAGTGTTATGTTCAGCGATAAAAATTCTGTGAATTCTTGTCGTTTATTTGAGAAATCCATAAATTATGACTTCAAATTGTTTATAGTATATTTCTTTGAGCAATTTTTAACTTAAAATTTGCGCCCAATGATTGACACGGTCACACCATTGCTTTTTATCATTTTTTTTATCATTTTTACAGGGTTTTTCCTTCATGTAATCATCAAACTGTTTATGTTCTGCTTGATGATTTATGTACTGCTTCATGATTTATGTACTGCTTCATGATTTATGTACTGCTTCATGATTTATGTACTGCTTGATGATTTATGTACTACTTGATGATTTATGGACTGTTTGATGATTTATGGACTGTTTGATGATTTATGTACTGCTTGATGAATTATGGGCTGCTTGATAATTTTTAAACTGCTTGATGATTTATGTACTGCTTGATAATTTTTATATTGCTTAATGATTTATGTACTGTTTGATAATTTAAATACTGTTTGATGATTTATGTACTGCTTGATAATTTATGTACTGCTTATTGATTTATGTACTGCTTGATGATTTATGTACTGCTTGATGATTTATGTACTTTTTTTAAAATGAACGAAAAAAAACGAACGATTAAAATGGTTAGAACGATCTTGATCGTTCATGAACAATTTTGTTCTTTTTTCACTGAACAAACAATTTTCAAAGAAACTTTGAAAAACAATCATTGTTTTACTGAGCGAACGATTTTTTTCGAACAAACTTTTTTTATATAAAAATGAATGATTTTACTGAGTTAATGAACAATCATTCAGTGAGAAAAAAATGAAAAAGATGGAAAATGAACGATAATTTTGAGAACGAACGAAATCATTTATTTTTTTAACGATAAAAAACCGAATTAAATGAGCCCTTCATGAACAATAAATGAACGAAATGAAAAAAAGGCGAATACGCCCATTTTTATCTCGTATCTCAGTGTATGAAAGGACCTGTAAGCGTGGTTTAAAGTGACCCTCCATTAAAAAATTGACATGGCCAAAAGTTGAATATTTTAAAATGTGAGTAAAAGGATACTGTTGTGAATTGGGCATGTCTCTCTGTAAATGAAATATTACTTTTTTTAATCAATTCCATTTGTTCCCATCCCTCAATTTACATTGTCAATCATAACTATCGATAGATTAATAACTCTCATTGTCTTGTCATTCAACGCAGCATGGGCGTAACTCCTTTGGGCTTCTGCCTCAAGGTTATTTGTGAACGAAAAACCCCTAATTCTTGAGAAGACGACATCTAGTGTTCTATCTGTATTGATATTAATCTATGTAACTCATGTAACTAGCATTCATGTCATGTGTAATTTAACATTTTATTGAGGCTGTAGATACATACAGGCCACGGTAGTTGGGGCTTCACGGCTTCAGCTACTTCCATTCTGGCATAACAGTATCATTGCACATGTCATGCTAACTCTGTGATCCACGTACTCCGCAAGGAGGCAGAGGGTTGCAGGGAGGGGTGTTTACCTCATAGCTTTCGTGTTATTGGGGAGTCATAATAAATAGATAGATAGATTGAAGATCTATTTAAAGAAAGCTGTGCTAATGAGTGTGGAAGGGAGAACCCTCCCATGGTAACAAACAGAATACAAGGAGGAATGTTTACATCATCTCACAGGTATAACAGCTGGAAGAATTGTCGATAGGAAGTACGCTCGCTTGCCACGTTGAACTACAAGAAAGAGAGATTAGTATATATTTTAGGGTTAGGTTGGATTAAGACACTTTCTGGGCCAAGCGCTGCGGCTAGGACAGTCTATGGAACCGAGCGCCGCGGCAAGGAAATGCTACACTGCGATTTAATGGTCTCACGTGAGACCATTAAATCGNTGGGGCAAATGTGTTAGTGGAATTTGAAAAAAAAATTTTAACTGGGGGCATTTTTTTTCAAAATTGGGGGCAAAAAATTATTTTGGGATCGAGAAAATCAGCTTTTTTGGGAATTATATTAACCCCTGTGTAAAAAAGGTCATTGTTTTCAAATGAATCCAATTGTTTTCTCTATGTGCACTCTTTGTTCAAATGTGTTAACTAGCTGGTCTCTCCTTTTAAAAAATAGATAAAGAAATGAGAAGAAAAAGCAAAAAGTAAAATTTCAGCGAGATAAAGGGATTTCAGAATAATTTACCAATTAAGTAATTTACGACCATATAATATTATTATTTTAGATTTCCCTGGGTTGCTTCTTTGCAATCGAATGGCAGGTTGGTGAATACAATAAGATTTGAAACAATCAATTCATTTGTTTACTTTTTCAGACATTTTTGTACAGCTTCAGTAATATCTCCAAGAGCTCTATTGACTGCTGCTCATTGTTTTGAACACCTTGCAAATTCAACAGTTCCTGACGATGTTACTGCAGTTGTTGGTATCAATGGTAAGTAATTAAATCTTGTCATTCTAAAGTATGTAAACTTTACCATGATTATAGTAGAAATTAGAAATGAGAAATATTGTTATAGATCAAATTTACAATACCGGTCACTTTAGTGTTCAATTTTTCACCAGAATTATTTTCCGGCAGAAATTATAATTACCGGAAACGGAATTCCGGTAATTTTCCAACACGGAAATTTTTGCCAGAGGGAATAAATTCAGGAAAATTTGTCGCCAGAAAAATTCCACAAAAATTAGATTACGGATGAAAATTTTTTCCTGAATTTCTTGCATCCTGCGGAAATTTCCGTGTCGGAAATTCCAGCATAGATTTCCGATGAAGCAGTGGAGAAACTTTCCAGAATCGGGCAGAAATTAAAATTAAGATTTTTTAAATCATTGGTTAGCTAAATTCAGTATATATTTACTTTTTATTATTATTTTTTTTCAAATTGTTTTTGGAAATGTTTAAAAATCATTTTTTAGTCATGGTCATTGAAGCCACAGATCATAGATAAAAATATTTTACTTATACCAGAAAACCAAATCCACCAGAAACATTCTGCCGGAAATTCCATCAAAATACAGGTTTCCGACACAAAGAGGACTAAGGAATTGAGTGTTTCCCACATACTTTGATTTTCTAATCCCTTTATCTTTGCAATTCAATGTCGTATTCATTAGATTTTTCAAACTATTAATTCTGCTAGATTAATTAATCTAAGTTTAAAATATTAGAGGTTTACACCATCAGGTTCTAAAAATAAAAGGGATTAGAAAAGTCTAAAACTCAAAATGTCAAATTAAGGTCGAAAAGATGTGTAATTATTAGCTGCATCTTAAACGTTTAAAATCATTATTTTTAAGTAGAAATAACTTCATTTTAGACAACTGAAAGTTATAGCCTAACAAGCTATTTAAAATCGTCTATTTTCATGTACTCAAAAAGTCCTTTTAAACCCTATTTTGCAAATTATTAGTAACAATGTTTTGAACAGTTTGCTGAATAGTTCAAATTAGAAAAACACTTCTTCAAATCAAACATTAAATCAACATTCTGTCTAACTCTAGTGGATTAGACGATTGAGAAGCTCAGCGTATTTTTCTCCAGGGGGGGGTGGCTTATTATTAACCCTACAAATTGATTTTACAGAAACTTTTTTCTGGAAGAATTGTTAAAAATTTTATGCTTCATACAAATCAGTTTAAAGTAATCAAAATTTCAAAAATTCAATATAAACGACCTCCCTTACTGAGCTTTCTTATAGTTAGGAATTTCTGAAAATAATTGCCTTTTCTGATCCTGAAGCAAAGGCATTGTTGCCGAATGCCGATAGTATCATGTGTTTCGACTTGGGCAAGACAAAATTCGGGTTGTGATGCTGAGGCCACTTGGCATGTAGATGATGTCGGGGGACAAAAAATGAATTAAAAAAAATATCAATAACGGAAGAAAAATTTAATTTCGACTCGAGTAAAATGTTAGCATCAAGATCTAGTTAATAACAAGTACAGGAAGGAAGGGAGATAGAGGGAGGAAGGGAGGGATAGAATTATTTTGTTGAAAATAAGTGATTTTTATTAAAAAATAAGCGATTCTTTGTCCGGTATTTGAAAGTTGTAAATTTGTTGTGCAAAATAAGCAATTTTTTGTTAGAAACAAAAGATTTTTGTCGAGCTTCTTTGAAAACTATAAATTTCTGCTTCAAAATAAGCAATTAGTTGTTTATTTGTTTTATAAGTTTTGTATTGTCTAATTCGGGTGCCATCTTACTTTTACACCCGGTTAGAGAACTTTTTTCACTTAATTTGGATTTTCAAATTTAGAGTGCCTAAATAACTTATACACAGATTTGACAGATCATTAAACCAAATTTAGTTACAACAGGACTATTCACATAATTTAAAGTCACTGTGAAAGAAGCTGTAATATCTATTTATGTCATTGAAATAGGTATTATTATGTGCGAAAAAGTTTTTGCCAGGATTTTTATTTTTCTAGCTTGTGTTGATCGAAAAAAAAACTATAAAATGTAAAAATCACAGGAAACACTTTTTCGCACGCATGATACCCATTACAATAACATAAATAGTTCTATTAAATTTTACTCAACTTATTTAATAGCAGGTCAATAAAGTTACTTTATCACTATGTTGCAGGGTGATAAAATAACTTTATCACACTACAGCAGGAACAAATAGGTATGCAATTTGAAATTTTAACAGCAGGGTAAAAAAGTTACTTTTTCGCTTGTAGGGCGATAATGCCATTTAATCATCCAGCAATGGGAAATATTAGACGTGATAAATTTCCTTAAAATTAAATAAAATCATTGATAACGAATTTTTAGATTTGATTTCTGAAAATCTGGAAGGGCAAAGTTTAAAAATAAAGAAACACATTATTCACCCTAATTATATCAACGTACACAAAGATGATAGTGTTGAATATGACATTGCTATACTAATAACTGAAAATATTGGTGAGTTTATTGATTTTTGATAATTATCTACCCAACCTATATTTTAATCATTTTTTGTTGTAAATTTTAATTGATATAATGAATTATTTTCATTTTTATTCTTTTAGAATTTAATCAAAATGTTGGACCCATATGCTTGCCTCAGGAATAAAACCTATAACTGGCACAGTTAATAAAATAAGTCTATTAATTCTATTTTTAAATATTAGAAGTGGTAATCTTGCAATGTTTAGTCAAAAATATTCCTTTATTGGATTTTTATGAGATGTTTAACCTTTTCTAAACTGGTATGCTCAATAAATTTGCCGTATTACATTATGCTGAAGATATCAACCACACAACTTTTCAAAATGTTTGGTAAAAAAATCTTAATAAATCTTTTTGGAAAAAGAACAACTTCTGCTTAATGCATAATACAGGGGAAGAAAGTTCCAAACACTCAGTGTCAGGTTTCGGACCAAATGTGGAATGTTGTCGTTTTTAACTGTTTTTGTTTTTGAATTAGAGCCAACAAGAACAAAATCGTCTGCATACTTTAATTTAAAATAGTTTTGAGGCTACATTTTTATAACAAAAAACAAGATATTTAACCCATACAAATTAAAAAATTTAAATTTTTGAGGATTTTTTATTTCTTTTTAGAACATTTAACATTTCTTAAGATGCAAAGTTTGGGAGCAACAGACGTTTTTGAATATGCCGAGAAGGGTTTCCAAGCGCAATAACATTTTTGAACATACCGAGTAGGGTTTCCATGCGCAATAACGTTTTTGAACATGCCAAGTAGGGTTTCCATGCGCAATAACGTTTTTGAACATGCCGAGTAGGGTTTCCATGTGAAATAACATTTTTGAACATGCTGAGTAGGGTTTCCATGGGCAATAACTTTTTTGAGCATGCTGAGTAGGGTTTCCATGAGGAATAACATTTTTGAACATGCCGAGTAGGGTTTCCATGGGCAAAAACGTTTTTGAATATGCCAAGTAAGGTTTTCATCAGCAATAACGTTTTTGAATATGCCGAGTAGGGTTTCCATGGGCAATAACGTTTTTGAATATGCCAAGTAGGGTTTCCATGCGCAATAACGTTTTTGAACATGCCAAGTAGGGTTTCCATGGGCAATAACGTTTTTGAACATGCCAAGTAGGGTTTCCATGGGCAATACCGTTTTTGAACATGCCAAGTAGGGTTTCCATGGGCAATAACGTTTTTGAACATGCCGAATAGGGTTTCCATGCGCAATAATGTTTTTGAACATGCCGAGTAGGGTTTCCATGCACAATAACATTTTTGAACATGCCAAGTAGGGTTTCCATGCGCAATAACGTTTTTGAACATGCCAAGTATATTCAATTTCAGGAAAGTTTGATGAAATTTTGTCCAAAACTGTCTTTAATACTAGTAACAAATATATTTCAAAGATAATTTAAAAAAACTAGCTTTTTAGAAAATGTGCATCTGCACATGTGGTAAGTTTTGGCACAATGATTCGAATATGTGTATTTTTCTTCTGATATCCATAACAATAGAGACGCTGGAAAATAGTTTTTTTTTGTCCTACCAATACAATTCTTGTTGTTGCATGCAAAAAAATTAATTTTTAATTTGTACAGATAAATTATCAGCTACAGAGCAGGTTTTTCACTATTATTGGGAAAGTGCATATTGGAAACCCAATCAAAGCCAAGATTTTGAGACAAATATTTCACTGATTTCACTTTTCAAGCACTATTTGCAGTGGACCCTGGGAAATGTGTTTACATATAGTAGGGAGGGAAGACCAAGCGGCCCTGAACCCTGTGTTCAATAAGCGAGCCTCCTTTCTTAACTGCAGTACCCACAGCCGGGGTTCTAAGTCAAGAAATAGGAATAACATAGAGGTAGTATTGTCAAACAAATTCATCTTTGAAGACAATCCTTTATGAAGCTTGAGAAAGCTTGTGATGCGCAGTGGACCGCGCAATATTTTCAAGACAAATAAATGTGGGATCCACGTTCCAACACCCCCTTCCTCCGCCTACTGGGGAGGGGGCTGCATTTGGAATAGATATGCCGTGACGTAAACACCTCCGGCCTTAAAGGGATGCCCAACTCCTTCATGAATCAGCCACAGATCCCAGCCCTTTCAGTGGATGATGCTAATGTCGAAGCCAATAAAATGTCAGGGTACAAGCCAAAATAACTAGTAACCCAATTAATCCCTGACACCAAAGCCTAGATAGGAGCGAAACTGCTGTCAAGATGCCAAGAACCTGCATGCAGTCAACATGAAGCTCCAGCTGTTCCCTGTTAGTTTCTTAATCAATAATCCTAATTTCTGTCTAACCATTTTCTATCCCTCTAAGGAAAACTATTTATAAACTTTATTTTACTTTCTTTGTTTTATTTCAATAAAGTTCCGAATAGTGATCCGTTATTGTCCATTATTTATTTGACTTTATGCCAACAAGTACTAATCCTGTTTTAAACCCACTCCACTTAGCAATTGGAGCCCTTTCTGGAAAGGCCCTGCTCCACAGGTGATAAAAAGGAACAACTCAGCATTCTTTAGCGGTTCACACTACATGCGATACTGCCTAAGAAATTCTGCTGGACTGAGTAAAAGTATAACATGTGGACTAATGGACTGTTTTTAAACAAAACAATCCTGATACAGTACTCCTCATGCCTTACCCTCATCTCTACTCTCCTCTACCTACCATTTAACCTTTTCACAAGCAACGAAATGAGACTTGAGGACATTTCACTGGTGGATCCTACAGCAAAATTACCTCTAAGCGGGTCACTTGTGAGTTGATTATTCTTTTTTGAATAGCAACTAAATAACTTAACGTGCTAGAAGTAAAGACCTATTACATGCAAGTATAAAGATTAAAGAATGTGGAGCTGAGGCTGCATTTCCATTAAGCAAAACAGACAAAAAAACGGAGAGTGGAACATCTATACAATGAGAGGGTGAACGTGCACTGTCTTAATGGCTCAAAGACAGAGACACATAAACATTATTTCAACAGCAGCGCCCAAATGGATGGTCAAAAGGAGGAAAAAAAACCTGCACATGTGCAGATGGAGAAAGGAGAAAAAAGATAAATATTTGAAATTATTAACTATGCCTACTACCATTTTATTTTATAAAAATTATAAAAAAGGAATTATAAAACACTTGTAAATATACTTTTCAAACATTTACACAATTTAGTATGTAGAAACAAACTTTAGAATAATTAAGAAGATACAAATATTTTTAGTAATTTAAACTAATCTGTAAATTATGAAAGTGTGGTTTGATCTAAATTGATTAATATTCTCCAACTATGGATTGTTGCGAAAGTTGGTTTATGTTCCAAAGTGCCCCCAAGATTCAAATTCATGATTTGTGCGGAAATGGATAACCTTGAATTGTTTCGAAAATCCGGAAAATGGTTTTACTGAAAATGATGACGGCTCAAAGTTTTAATTTTAGAAAGAAAGTAAACATTATTCTTTTTAGATCTTGTTGTGCTTAAGAATATGTTGGAAAAAGTTTCTTTAAATGATATTTGCACTCAGTGCACAGGAAGAGTTACTAAAACGTTTGTCATAATATTTCTGCTAAAACCTGACAGTCAGTGTCAGGTTTGGAACACAAGCACGGTTTGGAACTTGCGTCTCCTGTAATTCCCTATTCATAGCAGAGCACTGGCTAAGCTAGCAACAATAATAACATTATTGGTTAAATATAGAAGGACACTGTTTTAAATGAAAAAGAAGAGGCTCTAACACTAGGCTGGGGGATAGATGAAGACTTAAGTAAATTACTGACTGATAGCAATATAATCACCGAACCTCAGATGGATCTAATGGAATTGTTTTCATCCCTTCGTGGCATGGTTGGTTCCAAGAAAGAAGAAGAGTTGCTGAAAAAACTGTTTTTCAGGTTTGAAGAGATTTACCCAAATTTTGGAAAGGTCTATGATCAAAAAATGAACTTCCTGAACCCTGCCATAAGCAATGAGAGTAAGAATGCTCTAACATTAGAAATGACAAATCTGCTACGACCTAAAATAGAAGAAAAAATTGCAGAATCTGCAGAAAAATCAAGAATTTTACTCTATATAATTGAAAATGCTGAGGCAATATTTAAGGAAGTGCTCTTAGCTCCCAATGATACAGAAGTAAAAGAATTAAAAGATCACTGTTCTAATTGCAACAAAAATTGGAACTGGATGTACCACTATACAAAGGTGGGTATTAGCTACTTCAAAAGAAAGTTCTTGCACAAACTCAAATTTCTGTAAACTTATGATATTTTAAGCTGAGTCCACATAATCTAACAGAATTCAAAGTTTGTAGCAAGAACTCGAAGCTATTAGTACTTATCCATCCGTTCTAACGTGATTATATTATTTCTAATGTATAATGTATTTTTTTTGAAGAAACTCCCAAGCGTGGGGTTTTCTTATTTGACTGACAAGCTAAAAGAAGCTAAATCATACTGGTTATCCAAGGAGGAATGCCAAAAAAAAATCAAACAACATCAAATTTCATATAATTTTCTGCTTAAAAGGTAAATTTTAACTAACTCACTACATGGTTTTAAATAAAAAACAAAAAAATGAAACACTGTATTTATTTAAGTAATATATCCATTGAAAACCCTTCTATGATGTGTCTACAGCCTATAAATGGAGGAATATGTCCTGGAAACTCCGGAGGTCCATCTACTATAAAGATGGGCAGCAAGTTTGTTCAAGGCATGACAATCATTCTTTATTAAAGATTTATTAACCACCAGCCCTACATTCCTCTTATCATTAATACATTTTGTTGAATGCATGTGTTAAATTCCAAAGTATTCCCCACTATAGGGGTATCAATATTCTAGTAGTTATCAAATAGTTGAACATTTCTATTAATAGCATAATAGGAAATATGTTACCTAAACGGTACCCGCTCATCGAACCTAGAGGAAACGAACCTAACGTTTTTCTGACCTAACGTTTTTCCGACCTAAAAATCTGTAGGTTCGATTAGCGAAATGTCCCAAACTGACCTAAAGATTGGAAATATATTTAGGTCGGTTATTAATATATTTTAGGTTGGTTAAAGCAACAATTTTAGGTTAGATAAGCATTCATTTTAGGTCGGTTGAGCAATATTTTTTAGGTCGGTTGAGCAATATTTTTAGGTCGGATGAGCAATATTTTTAGGTCGGATGAGCAATATTTTTAGGTCGG